TTTGGCGGTCAGCCTTCTTTATGGTCCAGCTCTCACTTCCATACATCGCTACGGGAAAAACCATAGCTTTGACTATGCAGACCTTTGTTGGTAAGGTGATGTCTCTGCTTTTTAAGATGCTGTCTAGGTTTGTCATCGCTTTCCTCCCAAGAAGCAGGTGTCTTTTAATTTCATGGTTGCTGTTACCATCTGCAGTGATCATGGAGCCCAAGAAAGTAAAATCTGTCACTGCCTCCATATCTTCCCCTTCTATTTGCCAGGAGGTGATGGGACCAGTGGCCATGATCTTAAGTTTTTTTGATGGTGAGCTTCAGACCATTTTTTGCACTGGCCTCTTTCCCTCTCATTTAATTCTTCTTCTTTAATTCCTTAAAGAATCAAGGAATTAATTCCTCCTCGCTTTCTGCCATCAGAGTGGTATCATTTGCATAAACCCCCATTGCATCCTCTCTAATACTATCTTACCACCAGCCCCAAGTATATTTGAGGTGGAAGTATGTAATTAGGGGCCACTGGCCACTGTTACTTACAGTATTTCAATTATTCAAGCATTGGATTCTGGCCATTGTTTATGCAGGATTCCAAATGACATGTTGAGCCTATACCCGTAAAGCCCCTTCCTGGTTTTGGAGTTTTGCTTGTTCAACAGGCAGACACTTTGTGGGGGTGGGGGATGGGAATAGCCAGTGTAGATCAAACTACATATGGTGACTCATGCTGTGCCTTATCCTTGCAGTGTCCACAATGGCCCTGCTGATTGCAGAGACATCACTCCATGAATCAAGAGAGTATCACTATTCAGAGGAACTATAATCTGTATGACTGCTACTTTAAACAGTACTGTCAAATGAAAAATAAAATTTCAGGTAGGGATATACACCTGTAACAGTGTTTAGTCAATGTGAGCAGTGTAATGTGGAAAGATCAGCTGCACGCAGCTGAGGCTCCTCTTGTGACAGTGGGGGGGGGAATCAGATTTTTCTTATAATAGAAGATGAGTAGATATATCATGCAAGTTTCCTCCTTCCCATAAGCAAACAATATATGAGGAAGCCGTTAGGACTCTAATACGCAGCACAGGAGTAAATGTGAAAAGTCAAGAGCTCATTGTGATAGCCCCTCTAGCCCCCAGCCTAGAGACTCCAAACACACCTTCTGTTTTATGGGTGCATAGCAACACTTAAGCAGCATGCCTTTTGTAAAGGTAATGGTTCTTAATCACTCACTCAACACCAAATACCCTCAAATATTTTGTATTATAACTGGAATAGTTTGCAACAATATACTGTTCTTGGGAGAATCCATTTCTCTCCCAGCTATTGAGGATTGTAGCTAATCCGAAAGGGAGCAAGGAAACCTGAGTGGGATGGCTGATCATGTCATAGTACCCATTATTGAGAAAGTCATAAGGGTCTCAACCCTGCAGGCCCTGGCCCCAATACACCAACTGCTGACCAGAAATTCTGCCCTACAAAGCCCATGGCAATGCTGTATCAACTTTTCAATACTTTTTCCTACACCATTTTGATATTCAAGGAAAATAGCAAGAATCTTTGTATTCTGGAAGGATTTTTGGGTAGCAGAGTGTATTGGCTGACAGAGTTCTTTGGTTTACCATGTCTTAGGCTATGCTGCTATACTGATTGCAGCCTAAATTTAAAGCCAATTTTCACTTGTACTGCCTTTAGGGCCCATTTCAGCCAAAAGACGGTTCATAAACTGAATAAAGAAATAAAGAAATTATGTTATGTAATTAAGCCAAGCCATGCCCAAAGATAAATGTATCTCAAACCACAACAATAAGATACTGTAATAGTTTTATTTTTGTTTATAATGCATAGCATCGCATGTAATCCAAAAGCATTATCAAAACTGCTTAGTCTTTAAGAAACATGACAGTATGCCATACAAGGAAGATATAGATATAGATATATATATATCTCAATGCATGTCATTCACTGGTATTCTTACAAGTCAACATAAAATTCCAGCTTTTAAAAATAATGATTTTCATACATACATCAAAGTCAATGTTTCCCCAGTTCAACAATGATATGGACTGGACTCTTATCTAGAACTTGGAAAAACATTTCTTTTGGACTTTAGCTCCCAAATCAGTCCTAGTAACATTGGGCTAAGCTAGGTTAGGAATTCAGGGAGTTGTAGGTCAAGAAAGTAATTATGCCATACTGTCCCCTTACTTTAGAAATGTAACCAGGAGGCAGTATTCTTAAGCAGCTGCCACTGATTTCAGTGAGGCCTACATAGGAGACCTCTCCCAATGCATTATTCTGTACTTATAACACACATCAAGTTATACATTCTCTTTCTTCCCTTCTAATGTTGTTGGAAATCTGAACATCACTTAGTTCATGAGCTAGTTACTGGACTTTTCAATTACTAATATATAGAACAGGCTGGTGTAAATACTAGGAGCCCAGCCTTCTTCTATCAATGCACAGCCAATAGAGCAGGCCCTTTGGAAACTGCATGCCAGCTTACATCAAGAATCTTGGGCTGCACGTTCATGACCTGGGCCTATCCGCTTACTCAAGCCTTTCTCCTTTTTGGATGTATTCAAAGAATAAATTGAGCACAGTGCATCAAAACGCCCTCTTCCTCATGTCCCACTGAAGTGTGCTGAACCCACAGTAGTGTTTCTATTCACTCCAGTGAAGACTGCACCGGTGAACTTTGTGCTGGATTGCACTCTTTTGCATGTTTATATTTATTCCATCCTAGGATAGCTCAAAAATATGGTAAATTAACATTAAAAAGGCACCCAAGTATACATTCAGTGTCCTTTGGTTTCACAGTATGCACAACAGTGGTAAAATTCTGAACTTTTTGGACAGTTGCAGACATAAGAAGTAATAAATATATAAAACATATTAAAAATCAGTTTCAGTAATAAATATGTGTAGAAAAAAGTTGCACTGTATTGATTGCTGGGCTTTCCTCTTCTCATGCTCTCTCTCACATGCACAGCACCTTCCATTACAATTCCAAATTCATTTTCATTGCTTCCATCAGGGTGTACTGGATTTCTGCAAAAGCCAGATATTGCATAATGAAAACATGAGTCAATACAAAAAGCAAAGTTGCCTTTTTAAGATGTATCTTTTTTCCCCATATGCTTCAGGTTCCCAACCATCAATATATTTTATGTACTGCATTTTGCTATTAAAAGGACTACTCAATCTATGGCATTAATTGTGAACTGATCTCTTGGTGCCTGTTTTCGCTAAGAAACCAAAATGTTATTCTAGGCAATTAACATTCCATTGAAATTGCCTAAATATGAGTTGATAGCTTTAATGTAATTAAGCATTATGAATGGGCAGTTCAGACAGATTACAGTACACAGCTGCAAAGACATTTTTTCCAGTAGAAAAAGAGACTGAAATGCTATATCAGTAAACTGCATTTATTTCAGTGAGATTTAACTGTGACTCTCATGTGACACCAGAAAGCAGTCCATAGATGCAGCCCATCTCGGTACAGTATGTTTTGTAGGTACCTGTTGAAGAATCCTGTCAATTATCAGCTTGACCCAGCGTGCTGTGATATCCAGGCAGACTTTCTTCCCATTTGTCATGGTGGCTCTGTTGGAGTGGAGAGAGAAAAAAAATTTAAGTGTCAGATGAGCAAAGGGGGTTCACAAATGCAGTGGCAAAGAAAGAGGTGGGCAGGTTCTGGAGACTTACATGACTTCAGACGCGGCACAGTAAGGTCCTTCGGGGATGAGTTCTACATTAGCAATGTGCTTGAGTGGAATCATCTTGGAGACCACGTTGATACACTGGCAACGCAGCTCCCCAGTCATGGGAGCAGCTGTGGAGGAGGGAACACATAACAGAGACTCACAATGATATCTTATAGATATTTATTTTAAAAAATGACGTCAACTGTGTTCAATGGGGCTGATTCCCAAGTAAGAATGGAAAGCAATAAAAATGAATGTTTAATGTGACCCTGCTCTCCCAGGACATACTGATTATTTTCTTCAGTGACAAATATACTACAAATTGCCTCATAGCTTAAATCCACATTAAGAGGACAGATCATTTTGCATTGCAATAAATGCATTTGGTACATCAGTGCAATAGCACTGTCAAGATTTCCAACCATACTTGTTCCCTTGGCTATCTAGTATTCCAACTGATCACAAATTCCTCCTGCTATTTCTAAAGCACTATTAACGTCTTCCTCTAGCTGTTGTGTGCCTTCAAAATGACTCCTCATCTGAACATAATTATTGCAGATGAAACCCTTCTACACCATTCCCCAATTCTGTGGATTCTATTTCCCTTCTGTTATTGGAAATAGTAGGCTAAAATACTGAAGCACTCCAGATTGCCTTGCATTCTGCTATAAACACCCAAGTTCCAACTACAGTATTCTTATGTCACAACCGATATGTGATATATCTACGTATGCATACGTGTGTGTGTGTGTGTCTATCCATCCATCCATCCATCCAAAACATACAGTGAGTGAGATATCTGTGTCTCAAATAGTGATGAATAGTTCTTTAGAAACAGAAATGATCTGATTATGGTGTCCTATTTTTTTTAATTTTAAGCATGGATTTGTAATTATTGATAATAAGATGCAATAACAAGTTATTTCCATTTAGCATCTTTCATTTTAATGATTCACCTCTATCTACATTCATCTCATAAATGTTGATATCATGCCCAAGGTGTGCTAGGTGCCGTAGGCATATGTCCAAACAGGGACTCTGATTTTGCAAAAAGCATCTGAAAAATCAAAAGAAGTTACACCATCAAAACTGGATACTGCAAAGAATAAATATATAAAACTTTTAAAATACCATCATTGTTGAATGAACCTCTTGATTTGGGAGAGCTCTGCACTCAGGACCCCACACACTTAGAGGCAACATTGCTGTCAGTGTTGTTATCCAGTGACATGAACTTTAGAGTGGAGTTCAAACTTTATTGCTCCAAATACTATAGACACCAGACTAGCAATGTTAGGCAATAATAAAATTCTGCTTTTACTGGAATAAAAAAACACCTACTTAGGTCAGGCTGCCCCACATATCAGGTGTGAGACTGCACTCTATATTAGGACACTGGGCAGTTCTTCATCTTTTCAATTGACAATCCTATTGTCTAACTCAACGATGCAGTCTGCTTAGCCATTTTAATGAAGGTAAACTGCTCCCCTTACACAATCAACCTTGAGAAGTAGAACACTAAGGCAGCAACGCCTTCTTTCCACCTTCACTGAATATTTATGAAAACGAATGAGCAAGTCAGTCAGCACAGGAGGAGTCTAATCTCCAGCTTGGCACAGAACGGGGTAAACAGAGCCCATGAGTGTAAGTTGCATGCGTGTAGTTGTTGTGCCCAAGTCGGCTGGGCAGCTCAGTGGTTTAGGTATCTGGCTGCGGAGCCAGAGGTTGGGTGTTCGATTCCCCACTGTGCCGTGTGGGAGAAGAGCCAAGCTGCACCGTCTGAGGGCGCCCCCGGGAAATGGGAATGGGAAACCACTTCCGAGAGTCCTCCGCCTAGAAAACCCTGGAAAGGGTTGCCGTCAGTTGGAATCCGTCTCTGTGCCCGGAGCCCCCTGAACCTGCCTCCGCAAGCGAGCACAGTGTCACCACGACCCACCACAATCACTATCAACAGGCTTTTCATAGGGAAAGGCTGTCCCCAGGCAAAAGGGGCTTACCTTGACTCCGCGAAGGGCTTCCGCTAAGCAGGAGCAGGACGAAGAAAAGCAGGACGGAGGCGCGGAGGGCAGAAGGGCACCGGCTCATCATGTTGGGGCACCGTCTTGTTGCCTAGAGCGCACTCTCTAAGTTGCTCCATCCTCCCGGCATCAACAGGCTTTTCATAGGGAAAGGCTGTCCCCAGGCAAAAGGGGCTTACCTTGACTCCGCGAAGGGCTTCCGCTAAGCAGGAGCAGGACGAAGAAAAGCAGGACGGAGGCGCGGAGGGCAGAAGGGCACCGGCTCATCATGTTGGGGCACCGTCTTGTTGCCTAGAGCGCACTCTCTAAGTTGCTCCATCCTCCCGGCGGGACCTTTNGGGGGGGGGGGGCACCTCCACATAAGCGCCTTTCCTCAGGCCGGAAAGCCCCGCCCCAGCCAGCCTCCTGGGCTAGAGGCGGGCAGGGAGGAGAGAGCGCCAAAGCCTCCGGGAGCAACAGCCGGGGGCCACGCCGGCGGGTGTGGAGAAAACGGGCGCCGCTGGAGGGGAGGGAGGCAGAGAAAGAGAAGCCACTGCGAGCGGTTCTGCGTCTGGCAGGTCCGACAAGAATTGGGCGGCAAACCGTCCTGTGGAGACTGGGATTTCTCTGCCTCGCGCGCCCCGCTACTCCGCGCTTTTTTTCCGCTCGTGTGAGTTGTTGCCTGGAGTCACCTTCTCTTCTTAAGAAGCCACCGAGCGGTAGAAAACCCGAGGCGTTGGCTGCCACTAACGCAGACGAGCGTTATAACGCACAAACCAGCTTCCACAAAAAGCTTGACGAACTCCCCCCAATGTCATTTGAAGCGATTATTACTGTATTTTAATAATCCAGCAACAGGGTGTGATTTTTGGTGTGTGTGTGTGTGTGTGTGTGAGGACAACAGATAGACAAACACTGGCTTAAGACATTTTCCTGCATCATCATTCATCTCCTTTAATTTAAGATGAGCAACTGAACATGAAAAACAAAACAAGACCAAAACAAAAACAACGTTGTGGCATCTTAAAGACTAAGTGCTATAAACCTCGTTAATAGAAGTCTGTAAGGTGCCACAAGCCCCCCCCCTTTGTTTTGTGTTTCTTACTGATATGCTTGCACGAATTAACAGGGCTACAATTTCGAAAAACTAACATGACTTGTCAGAAAGAGGATTCTATGTTCTAGCATTATTTTGTTCCTCTTAGGAACATCTGGGTAAAACTCAAAAGAATGGCAGTCTGAAGGGTGTGTCTTTGACACGTCCCATGAGACAGTAGATCAGGAAGCTGCTGCTGTGCCTAACTCCAAAATTCCACTGGTGTAATTCTATTAGTGTAAATTTCAGCTGCAAATTACTACATGTTATGATGCCAGAGTAGGCATTTGCTGACCAATTTCAGCTGCAAATTACTACATGTTATGCCAGAGTAGGCATTTCCTGACATGTGCAGAGTCACACAAGTGATGTGCAACAGCAAATGCCTGTGCTGATTTCTTAACCTGCATTAATTCACAACAGAGATTTATGCTGAAAGAGTTGTATTGGCAGATGAAACCTAACAGGAGAATCCTCCAGTTTCCAGCAGGAAAAAAAAATCCCCAGTAGATCTAAGAAGCCTGAAGTCTGCCCATCAGGGACATCCTATGGAACATGCAATGGAAGGCACTGCCCCCAAATTTCAGGAGGACTGCCGCAGCTGCCCACCTGATTTTAGTAATTTCCACTGTTATTGCAAATAGCTTTACATTCTCTAGAAAAATCCAATGTGTGTGTGTGTGTGTGTGTGTGGGAAGTACCATAGATAAAAACACTGGACCACTTGTTATAAAGTTCCCTGTTTCCTCCAGCAATATGAACAGAATGGCACAAGGTTACTTTATAGGGTTGGTGCAAGGCAAAATCTATCAGCTTTTACCACTTACAGTAGAGCTATAAGTGATGATTTCCTGCAAATAAGCAAGTTGCGAGGGGGAGATTGTCTTTGTCTTTCCCAGCTATTTCACTAAAAATTGCTTTTCCAAGTGACTTTCCCTCCTGCAGGATTCAAAACCAAAAGACACATTTGACAGCGTGTATCTAAAATCTGATGGGAGACCAACAGAAGAAGACTAAGGATTTAGTGTATTGCTCCCATCCAATGGAATGCCCTTCTACTTCTGATTAGGATGCAGATACAGTATTTTATTTGTGATCTTTCCTGTCTTAATGTACTGTATCTCACTCTGAAATCTTCGGTATGGGGTAGTTTATAAATTCTGCAAGCCAACCAACCAACATACAAACTCTCTCATAAGAGGAAAAGCAGTTCTTTGTAGGTGTCTGAGAGACCTGGATTATAAAATGTTTAATCATTTTTAAAAGTGGAGAAGCTTTGCACAGTTCCCTGAAAGTAGCAAGGCTATTGCAGTAGAGGGGAGGCATTGTGCAACTGGTGCTAGAATGGGAATAATGTGCCAAAAAGAAAAACCCAGTGTACGTTTGTGAAAGTCCAGACATGCTGAACTATAGAGCTGTTCCTGAATTCTAGCCTACAAGTGAGTAAAGTGTGGTTTTCCAGATGTTTTTGGACTACATCAGCCATCAGCTTAAGCAATAGTGAGGGTTTCTGGGAAATGGACTTGTGATCCAAAAATATTTGGAGCACTGCATGTTGTCAAGTTTCACACACCTCACAGATATGAGCTTCTTCTCAGTTTCTGTGTACTATAGAACCAAACTCTTGCTGAGTTCCCATGTAAGAGCCCACCTGAGGGGAAAGTGTTGTGGAAATGAAACCTGTGGCTGAAGCGGGATCTTCAAAAACCCAATCAGGCCTTCTGCTTTCTATGTGATAGTATCAGATTCCAGTTTAAAACATTATGTTCCTGTTCTTGTACAGTATCTGGATTTCAAAACAAAGGCCCTGAGCATTTTTATTTATTTATTTATTTTTGCATTCCAAAAAGAAAGGTCTTGTGTAAGCCAGTGATACCCATCCCTTCTGTAAGTAATGTTTCTTCTATATATTGTCACTTTGAACGGAAAGAGCTCTTAATTTTTATTTATTTATTTATTTTTGCATTCCAAAAAGAAAGGTCTTGTGTAAGCCAGTGATACCCATCCCTTCTGTAAGTAATGTTTCTTCTATATACTGTCACTTTGAACGGAGCTCTTGAAAGGAAATAATATCATCAGTTTGGAAAGAGAAGTTAGTATGCATTTCAGGAGTCATAGCCCAGGAACAGGAATGCCCAGCGTGTCAGCAGCAGCTCACCAGCAGCCCATTTCTGGTAAAGCACGGATGACATTGAGGTGAAGTGATGATGCACCCAGAGCAACAAATAAGGCAAAGCAGAGGAAGGGCTGGGGCTCAAGGCAAATGGCTTTTTAATGGCTTGCCCAGCTGGGGAAAGTTACTTTTTAGACTGTAGCTGCCATACCTAGTGGGAGTTGTTGATAAAAAAGCTAACCTCTGTTTTACACTATGCCCTTTAACGTTGTAACAAAGATGTCAAGTTAGGTCTGAGAAGGAATGCCAGTTCACTTGGTAAAGAAAATAGTTTGGTTGTCAACACTAACCTGGAGGATACAGAGCAGACAGGACAGTGTCCAACTTCTACCTACTGCCAACTGTCTCTCAGTGTCTTCCAGGTGCTTATTTATTTATAGAAGTACTATTCACATTGCTCTTCAGCCACAAAAAGGTTCCCAAAATGCCTTACAATGGCTTTTTACAGCCTTAATACAGTCTTTGCCCTCAAGCTTAAACTCTGAAAGTCAAGAACACAAGGAAATGGATTAGAGAGAAAAGAGGAAAAACATGATGCCGGTGGATGATTCTGGTACTCGGATGGTAATATATTCTGGATTTGATCGTACACAGATTTGCACTCTGGCTAACTCTTTCCAGGGCTGGCATGTTTGTCATTGGCCTATTTCTCTCTTTTGCTGTTTCTTTTTCTCTACCTGCACATGCCCCTTGACTTGAGGTTTAATCTGATTTTAATTCACCTTCCTCAGGGCAACATGGTTTCTCAGAAGCCTTTCTTGTGGTAGGAAGGAAGGGCAGAACAAAAGTTTCAAATGACTTTCCCAGTTGGACTTTTTTTTTCCCCCAGCAAGGTGAGAAAGGGTCAGGCTGTGATCTAAAGTAGTGGCAACTTCCTTGAAGCCAATCAGTTCTCTACTAATGATGTTAGACAAGTTGACCCATTTGTTCTGTTTTGTTACAAGCAAAGGGTGCAGGCAGCAATGAAAACTGAATGGTAGTTGTTCACTGACCTACAAGCCACTGTTATTTAGAGCTCTCAGATAATTCAAAATTTTTAACTGATCAACCTCCTGTCTTTTAACAAAATTTCTAGCTGTGTTTAAATTAAATTGAGCGCATTTTACTACTACTGAACTGAGAAAGTCAAGATCAGTTATATGCCCAAACAGTAGGATATTACTGATTGCATCTTGATTCTGGTTTACTGTTTTTCCTTTTAGATTAGATTGTGATTTATTATTTCATAATTTTATATTAAATGTTTTTTTTACTGATTGCATCATTCCCTGAGTTACATTCATATAGGACAGAACTGACAAATAATTTTTAAAAAGTATAACCCAAGCCTTATTATACATTCTTTTTTCAGATAAAGAAAATAAGATGGCTTTTGGTTTAACAAAGCTTACTCATCATTTAAATACATAGTTTTCTGTCGTATTTTGTTTTTTATTCTGTTTTACAGCAAAAAATATGAAGAAACCACACCCACAAAGAGGCATAACCTCAGCAATTAAAACTCTGATATTTATATCACTGATTGACTGCTACTTTAATTGATTAGGCAGTAACAACAATTACCACTCTTTCTTCACAGAATATAGAAGGAGTCTCATGGTGTAGTGGTGAACGTCAGTACTGCAGTCAAGACTCTGCTCATGGCTTGGGTTTGATCCCAGCAGGCTCAGATAGCTGCTCAAAGCTGACTCAGCCTTCCATCCTGCCAAGGTTGGTAAATTGAATACCCAGCTCACTAGGGGATGAGAAATGTGTGGCCTGCATAATTAAAGCTGTAAACTGCCCAGAGAGTATTTTAAGTAGTATAGGGCAGTATATAAGCAGCACATTTTGCTTTTGCATTACAGAATAGTGTACAATTAAATGTAGCGTGAAATATTTTATTTTAAAAATAACACTACGAATTCAGTAGGAAAGCAATGCTATGAGCACATTTATATTCAGTACTGTGATAAAGAGTGCATTACTAGGCGATAGGCGATAATCTCTCTTCTCTTTTTCTTTGACTGAGAAATAGTTTGTGGTAGAAGAAGGGAATGGTATACCACTGCAGAGTACTCTGTACCTAGAATACCTT